AACTCTTCATGGAACCCCCATATTTGGACCTATTTAAAGCCAGGCATGACCCTGCACTAAATAGCATGTTCCTAAGAGCAGCCCTAGATTTAAAATAAATCCCAGCTTCAAAAATCCACAGGCTTAAAAAAAAAAAATAAAGACCCAGAAAATTTACTGGCATAAAGAGAGAAAGGTTTGCCTACCCTGTAATGGGTTGACAGAATAAAAAATTTAAACTGTCCATAATTGATTCCACAGATGAAAAAATAAGCTGAGGTTGATTTCTTTTAAATTTTTCTGGCCTGTGTGTTGCAAGGTGTTACCCATTTCCAAGTGTTTCAGTGGAAATTGTAGGTAGACATCAGCATCTTTCCAGTCTGGCTCTGGCCTTCCTTTGCCTTCAGTCCTGTCCCACTAGCCAAAGCCCCAAAGCACTTGGCTGTGGCTCTCGTGGCTGGGCTGTCCCTGTGGTCCTGGGCTGTGCCACACTGAGCTCCAAGCACAGTCCTGGTGGCAGGGTTGTCCGTCCCAGGCTGACTGAAGCAAGGGAAATCTGCTCTTGACTTGAGCTGAACATGGTACATGTAATCTGTTTTCAAATATTTGGCTTTAGGAGCACGTTGTTCCTGTAACAGAGCTGTTTTGAACACAGCTCAGAAGGCATTTCTACTGACTGCAACTTTCAAACTGGGCCTTTGGGAATTCACTTTTTCAGCTTTGCCAAGTTTGCCACATTCCTTGGACCACCAGGTCAGGCAGGAACACTCCCAGTTCTTGCTATGTCTCCTCTGAAATAGTAACTTTCTAGAGCATAAACTGGGTTGTATAGAAAAACCAAGGGTCATTAACAACATTAACTTTAGTGGCAATTAGAATAACATATTCCTGACTGTTGGCCAGATTGTTTAGGTCATAGGGTAAAATATTCTTCTTGTGTAAAGCCCTGCAGACCTTCCACTGTGCTACAGGGGAAAAAGGAGGGGGAGGGGGGGAAAAAAAAAAAAATAGCACCCCCCACCCTGTTTCCTGACATTTTGGGTAGTGAGGTATACTTTTAAGACTGACCTCTCAAATTGTATCTCCTCTTACTCATAAGATTGTTAGAACCATCGTTAGATATGTCAGGGTCACTTAAAAATTACTCATAACACTGAAGTGTTACCCTGTCTTCGGAACTGATCAGTGATCATTTATCCTGATCATTTATCCTGGTGCTGCCTGCAGTTCCCTTCTGCTGGCATTTCCCCAGGCCTTGTGCTGAGCACACCACACCAGTGTGAGCTGGATGCCTGTGGTGCTGTGATGTCCTTGCAGAGGTCTTTGGTGCACAAATTCCTCCAGGTTGGTAACTGTGATTATTGCGAATTTTTTAAGCAATCTAAATAGAAACTACTTACTGTTGAATTAAGCTCGCTAAAATCCAAGGCTTAAAAATGGAATCCTAAAAATTAGCTGTGGCAGTAAATGTATCTATCTGTGCTTGGTGCCACAAGGCAGCCACTGATTTTTGGAGACTGCAAAAGGTCCTGTTGGCTCTGGCAACCAAGAATCCCCTTTGGTGGTGCACAGATGTGTCCCCTCAGAGCCAGGCCCAGCTCCAAAGCCTGCTTGTGGTGCCGGCAGCACCTTGGCCTCCTGTGGTGACCCAAACCCCTGTGGCAGTGTGCTTGCACCCACAGGCAAGGTGCTCCTGCAGCTGTTGCCGGCAGGAAAATTGCAGGTTAAATTTGTGAACTGCTACAGCAGCTCTGCAGAAATGAGTTGCCGAGGAATGCTCGTGGCCTGCTGTCCTCATCAGGGAAACTGAGCTCATTGCGGGAGCAGCTGGGCTGCGTTTGAAGCTTTTCCTTGCTGGCTGGACCACCCATTCCCATCACTGCCCTGGCTGTTGTGCTCCCCTGGGCAAGGAGCGAGTGTCTCCCCAGGGCCGCCCGCACCCCACACACCCTGCTGGCAGCCTGTGGTCAGAAGAGTAGAGACAAAGGTCAAAACCCCAAGAAACGCCACAGATTTTTCTCAGCAGTGCTTGGTAATAGCAAGGCAAGCACGGAGTTCTTGCTGCAGTTCTCAGCAGAGGAATCTGAAGACCATTTTGTTTGAAGGACAGTAACACCGAGGTGTGGCAGACATGTACAATTCCTTCAACTTGCCAAAACCAGAAAAAAATCCCATTGTAAAGCAGTGTTGCATTTGCTAAATAATTTCTGCAAGCTTCACTCTTGTGCTATTTGACATACAGCTCTGTCAAGCAACGACGCTTTTGAGAAGTTGCCTAGAGGGTCAGATTTCCCATTCAACAGGGAATTAAAAAATGTTTCTGGAATTTTGCTTTGCAGTGGGGAATCTATTTTCTTATCTCACATTGTACAATTTACTTTTCCTAAAGCAGTGTGCTAAATTATTTGTTATTGTTGGACTCGGTCGAGCAGCTTTATCCCTGGTGTAGTCACGAAGTATTGGAGTAAAACCAAGGATGAATTTGTCACAGTGTACTCACCAGATCAGCTGGTCTTTAGGTTAACTCTCAAAAGACAGCAGTTCTGCAAAAAATATTAGTGAAGGTCCCTTAAAGCTCCCCAAAGTTGCCTAAAACCTTTCTTCTTCAGGTTGTGGCAAAGTTGGTTCAGAAATGCTTCCCCGAGGCCTTTGTCAGCAGGCAGCATGGACGCAGGTGCCAATTCTTTAGGTTACATTTATATGCTTGGAATATTTTTATAGGTTTCTGTCATAAAACTGGAGAGTTGACATTCTGATTTATTAACTATCAAGTCTGCAGGACATAGGCTTTAAAAAGATTGAATGAGCTAAAATGTTTGTGATTGCAGTCTGGAATGGGACCCTGTATAAAGGTGTGCCAAGTAAATATGACAAAATATAAGTGATAATTTGAATATACACATTAAATGATGTGTGAAATAAAGCAAAGCTAGCATAGGTCTAAAAGTGACTTACTATTTGGTGAAGTAGTAATATAAGAGAACCAGAATTGTGGGGTCTTTATCATTACAAGACATTTTTATTTAAGGAAGACTCTATAAAGCATGAGGTTCAGCTAGTGGCATTTTATTGAATAAACATAGTGTAGATGATGACTTACAATATAGAGTGCTTAGTGAGTGATACTTTTTATAACTAAATCCTTAAATTTATTACTGCTGTGCTAGTAGCATATCTGATTTGGTAAGATGAATATTATATCTTGCCCTTAACGGAAATTTTTGTAGTAGAAAGGTATGTATAATTTAGCAGTAAAGGAATCTGAAAATGTGCAGATCAGTTAACTGCTACGAAGGAGGCTGTGACACACCAACGCAGGCTCTGATTTTTAATATTTCCATTGCAATTGCAAGGGTGTGTCATGTTACGAGTGCTCCATGGAAAGCTGCAGTGTTTTACACCAGTTGATTTATGTTAACCGTGCACAGAGCAGAAGATGGTATGAAATGTGCTCTGGCTGGATAGTGGTAGCAGAGCTCTAGCCGTGTGTGTCTGAACTGCAGTGCTTGTGGTAACCAGTTTTCGTCTTTAATAAATTTTATTTTCAGCTTGGCTTCATGTTCTCAGCATTGGTTGTCCTTAATCTTTTTGGCACTGATCTGATTTTAGAAACTATTCATCTCTCTGTTTGCTGGTCCTTTCTTAATGGCTTAAAGACCAAATGCTCTCAAACCAACAAGGTGGCATCTCCTTCCTACCTGGCTGAGAGCAGCTCCTGATCTTTTGGGATCAGCCAGTGTGTGAGGATCTCTTCTGCTGGCAGTCTGTGGTTCTGTTTCACTTTCTGAATGACTTCCCAAGTGCTCCCATCACACTGACAGGGTGTATTAAGAGCATGAGTTCTTGTGGAGGCAAGTGAAATAGTGCAGGTGTAGCACCTGGGGCTGTATCACCTCTGTTGGGAACCTGTGTGCAGAAGAGGCAGAGGCAGCTCTGTTTCAGCTGGTCACCAAAGCCTGGCTACCATGGCTAGTGTGCCTAATGGATGCTTTCCCTGCTGAGAGGGCAGCAGGGACTCAGAAGGGAATTTTCAGCTCTGTGGCCTCTCCAGAGAGCCCATGCAAGGGCTGTCTGCAGTGCTGCATGGACTGGCTTCAGGCACATCTGGGTATGCACTGTGGCTAAGGGTGTGTCCTGGAGGCAGGAGGATGTGGCTGCAAGCTTATCCCTCACAAAGGCCACTGAGGGTGTCCTGGGGGGAGTGAGCAGCTGTCCTGCCACCACTCCCACCCCTGCCATGGCCAGTGGAGAGCCAGCTGCCCCCTGTGTGGAGCTGCCACCTGCACAGCCCTGTGGTGCTCAGCCCCCCACACTGGGGAGTTTCTGGAGCTGTCAGAGAGCTCAGTCTCCCTGAGCACAAATGCAGATAAAAACTTGGGGGGGTTGGCAAAGATGTATGTGCTAGCCCATACTCTGGCCACAGACCAAGATAAAAAATATTGAAGAGACCTGAAGGTCAGATGCACTGTATCTGCTCTCAGCTGGGTCAGCACAATGTCAGGCTCATCTGCCCAACCAAGTGCCTCTCATTAGTTCAGCAAGACCTCTCATGTCCTGGGGTACATGTGTGCTTTGGGATATTCAGCTAGAGCATCTTTTTTGCTTGTTGTTACTAATATTGGGGCTTGGGGGCGGTGGGAACAGGAGAGCACTGAGAATTAAAATTCAGCACATGCCTTTTCTTTGCGGGCTGTAATTAATCTTGCCAATTTTTAAAGCTTTGAGAATCTGGTTAAGTGATAAAACACTAACAACTTTATATGACAGAGTTAGAGGCTCCCGCTATACACCCACCAGAGAAGATTAGGAGAGAGTGTTTGCAGGATTCGCACTAAGCAGCAGAGAATACAGTTGAGAATTGTTGCACCACATGATATGAAAACCACATTAATATAATGAAAGGTGTCGGGAATAATGTGAGAGCGGCTGTAATTAAATGTATCTTAATAAGTGCAACATCCTTCTTAAAGCTCTTATTTTTCAGACCTTTCAAACTTAGAGGATGTTCTTGCTGTTGGCAGGTGGCCTGGGAGGAGAGCTGGAGAGCGAAGCGAAGGACAGCCGGGCCCTGGAAGAGAGGAACAGTGTGACGAGCCAGGAAGAGAGAAATGAGGAAGATGAAGACATGGAGGATGAGTCAATTTACACCTGCGATAACTGTCAGCAGGACTTCGATTCACTGGCAGACCTGACTGAACACAGGGCACACAACTGTCCTGGAGGTAATGTTAAACTAGCTTTACAGTTCTGACAGGTGGTTAGCTGGGTAATTGGACATAGCAACAGCTTGAGGCCTCAAGTGAGATTAAAGAATTAATAATGTAATTTTACAGTTAATGTAATTTTATTGTGGTGCCTTGGGTAGCCTTTGTTCACTCCTTTAATAAAATTAAAATAAAAGCAACAGCTTTCCAATTGGAATATGTCAGTAATTACGTTAGACAAAAATGTTGTGGGGTTTTTTAATGCTAGAAGTTTCAGGCAGATATTTTTCCCTCTCTCTCCAAATGTAGGAAGATTAAAAAAGTTAAATGACTGAAGTGTGCAAAACTCCCAGGAAAAAAGGCCTCTGAACCCCTAAAAGAACATGATGATTCCTGAGATTAAAATTCGTAGTGCGAGTTCTGTAATCCCACCCTAAAAATACAGCATTCTCCCTAGGTTATTATTACATTGCCTTTTGAATTTTATGGAAGTGAGGATGGCATCAGCCTACGCTGATCTTGATTTTACTTTCTGTAAAGTAAGAACAAGCTCAGAGCACTGGTGTGAACAATTGCAACATACCTTGCTTTTCCAGGGCTGCCTCTGCATGGCCGGCGGTAGCAGCAGGTACTCAGCTGAGCACGCTAAGCCGATTTACAGGGGTGGGAAAAAGCTTTGCAGATTTTACCAAAGATTAAATAAAATCTTAGGAGGGGGAGCGCAGAATATGTTCATATGTATTTAAATCAGGGATTCTTATCTTTCACCTTCCCAGAGCTGAATACTCTGCCATCACGTCTGCCTCCACATTCATCTAAATTATTTTTAGGCAGTTGCTGTTATGGCAGACGGGTAGGTCAAGGCTGGCAGAAGGCAGAAGGGTTAGTTTCTCCTCTGGTGCAGCAGTATCCCATCATCTTTCCCCTGAGTGCATACTCCTCCTGGCCACTTAATTTGTTTTGTAATTAGTCTATGTTTTCTGCTCTCCTTTTTGGGCATAAGTAAAATGATGATCAGCCAAGAAAAAATACAGGGGATGGAATACAGCAAAGGAGGGAATGTCAGGTGGAGGCTTTGGCTTGGTTTGATTCCCACCCCAAGAGCACCCTCCCTTGTCTCACTCTGGCTTGCAGAGGGGAGGACTCCCTGCTCTTGTTCGCATCTGCTTGCTGGGAGGAAGAACAGAGGGATGTTGGGGCTTTTCCCATGCATGCAGTTGGGTAGAGATTGCAGTCCTAAGCCTGCCCCCAGGGCTCCTTGTTCTGCACTCTGATTTAAGCCCTACATAGGCTGCAAACTTGAAAGTGCGTAAAATCGAAAGGCCACTTCTTGCAGGGTAATTTCCCAGCCAGCTGACAGCCACAGCAATGGCCTGAGACTTCTGCACATGGCACTCTGCTGCAGGGGAGTAAGCAAGAGCTTGTAACTTTCTATTTAGAAAACTCCTTGTTTTCCCAACTGGAAGGCAAAGTGCACAGCCCGTGTGGACACTGGTCCTTTCCAAGAAGTGCCCTGGGCAGCCGCTGCTCCATCACTGCCCGCTCTCCTCAGTTGTGCTGGGACAGCTGCTGTGGTGCTGGGGCTGAGCCCCACAAAAGGAGGCTCTTCTTAGCCCAAATGTCTGCTTGGGTCTGGTTCCCTGTGTGGTCCCCAAACAGCTGTAATGGCACAATGGCAAAGGGCAGTGGGCGCTGCTGATAGGGATTCCAAAGCAGGAGTGTAAGGTTATGACAGGTGACAGCAGTGCTATGAAAAGGAACAATTCTTTTCCAGAGGCAAATCTGCATTAAAACATAGCAACCTAGAGATTATATTAATGTAAATTCAGTCAGTGTTTTCACACCTTAGGTTTTTTTTTATCCTCAGTGTAGTATTCTCTTAGTGAGACTAAGAAAAATTATATTTTTAGGGATATATCAAAATAATTTTTCAGTATTCCCATTGCTATTCTTGATTGCAGGTAGCATAATTTTCTCATATTTTACTGTCTTCACGTGTGTGGATGATTTACAAAGACATTTTGTCCCAAAAAGGCACCATATAACTATCTGCATATACATGAAATAAGTGCTAATTGTCTCCATGTGAGGATAATCCTTGTTCCAGAACTAGAGTGTCTGTTTTCTATTTAGTTTAATCTAGTGTCCTGAAGTGATTTAAAGTAAATAGGAAGATTGCACTCCTATATTTTGGAATGAGAATGTTTCCATGAAGACAATCTGGAATATTGCTTGATATTCACATACCTTACCTTGAGGAAAAAACAACCCTTTCAGATGCACCAGTTTGATACATGGTCTGATAATCATGAGGATTTTTGAGGAAAGCATGCAAAATGTGTGTCTTCCTTTAGTTCATCTAAAAAGACTTGCACCACCTGGGTGAAAACCTAAGACCTCATTAGAAAGTGTATTGTATTTAAAGATTTTACCCTACAAAAAGAGCTACTTGTCTGTGTCCTTAGTTACCCTGCACTCCTTTTCCCTGTGATACCTGCCTGACACACCTGAGGGTGTAATGCAGTGCCTGACCTCTTGTCTAGCTAGATTTTCATGTCTTAATCTGAAGCAGGGCTTTCAGTCATGTCTACATGGCTCCAGATCAATACAGGTAATATTTGTAGTGATAATATCACCAGGCTGATAATACAACATAACTAATGACTTCCTTTGGGATACTGAAGTTAGGAAGGTATTGTAGCTCAGGAGTGTTGCAGGATTACAAGAGATCACTCCAAAGAACAGGATAAACCATCTATTTCACTGGAATCCCTTAGAAATTCATTACAGCGTGCTGAAGTTATAATACAGTTTGAACACAGCTGCTTTGACATGTAAGGAAGTAACAAACAGCCATTCCCCTCCTTGCTTTTTCATGTATTTCAGACTTGTTTCTTTGAGGACAAAACACTGATGAAATCTAGACATCTCTGGTAGCATAGGTGCATGGCATTCCTTTTGATGTCTGTGTAGTAGAGATGTTCTCCTTGTGACAGAATTAGGTGCCTTTTATACCTTTTGCTCACGACTGACGTCTGTGATTGGGGCAGCTGGTACCAAAAGAACATCACATTTCCTTACTGGTTTATATCTTCCCTCGTTTCCCAGTTTGCCCCACAAACGAGCACTCCTGCAGCAGTCCTGGAAACAGTGCCTTAAACTGTTTCCTTAAACAGCAGCATCTTGAAAAATACTCTGAGAACAAATAAAAACACCTAGTGTATACACTGGATGTGTTAAGCTTTTAAAATGACTTTAAAACTCACAGGTATCCCATATCCCCTAAACTAGAGAGGGCTAAGTAATTGCCATTGGCATCATCTGCAGCCTTTTTTATATGTGTTTTGCATGCTGCTGTTACAGTGTAGCTGTAGCATGATGCTATCTTACAGCATTAGTCACAAGAGTAAAGAACTACATGTGGATTTACAACTTACTGTGTCCTACAACAAGCACCAGAGGCTCCCTACATCAAGAAACTATTTTGTGATAGATCACTGTCTGGTGGCTGGTGCCAGGTGGTTTGTTGTCTGACAAAAAGTGGCTAAAAATTCACAAGCCTTGTCATTTGGCTTGTGTGTTTAATCCTGCATTAATCTGGGTTTAGCTCCAGTATTTTATTGTGGTTTTTTTTTTTTTTTTTTTTTATTTTTTTTTTTTTTTGGTTTGTTTGTTTTTTGTTTTTTTTTTTTTTTGCTTCCTCCACCCCTTTCCTTCAATGGGTCAGAATAGTCTCAGGTAAAATTTTTTCTTCAGATTCTCAAGTGAATGTAGAAGTTTCAAAGCAAATTAACACATCATTGAAGTGGACAGAAGTAGGTTTTGGCTGGGTCTCTGAGCATTTCATGAGGTCCTCTTCTGTTGTTGATAACTTTACAGGTTGTCTGTTTCAAACAGCAGCAGAGCTATATATGGATATTGCCAGCTTGGAAGCAGCTGATTTTTCTAAACTACTGTACGGTAGGAACTAGTTTATAATTAAAGTCTTGCAGTTGCTTCTTTTAAATGCCCTATAACTTGTAGGCTTACATTTGAAATGAGGTACTGTAACTGTTTCATGCTAGTGTATAATTTTGCATTTTCTTTTATTTCACCTGCTACAAGAATTATAATTGCCATGCAACCCCATTTGCGGGATGCTTATGCAGAAACACATATACAGCAGCTTGTCAACAAGTGACAATGTCTCATGAATGTTTTTGTCAGGTGGCATTTTTTACTTCCCACTGACAAAGAGAGATGTCTTATATACATTTCCAAAATTAGCCCTTCCCAAAATTGTAATTTTTGTTTGCACCTGATTGGCAAATTAGTAATTTTTCTCTCTTTTTGCTGCTGCTTTTGTTACATCTTTAAATTAGTGAATTACTGATTGTCCTCTACAAAAGAAACTGAAATACAGTTGTGAAAAAGCAGTGTGGAAACTTAATTATACACCTAGTTTATACAGCTGTGTGTCTAATGACCTACTGGCCCTAATTACTGTGTTGTGGTTCAGTCTGAGTGCTCTTGTCCTTGCCAGAATTCTGCTCCTTTCTCTTAACCTGACTAGTGTTTCAAGCTTAAAAAAATAACAAGTTTCCTTTTTTTGTTCTTTTCTGCGTTGTTGTGCTGAAATGCAGTTTCCCCTCTTTCCAGAGGTCATAGCAGTGTTTTAAAATTGGCACCAGAAAAGCTCAATAATATCACAAACTGTAAAAACATGGATTTTCCCTGGAGTCCTCAATTCTTGATGTCCAGATCTGAAAATGGGCACTGGGGCAGTGTTTTTATTGTCAATCACCTGGAGGGCTTCAAGTGCAGGCTCCTGTCCTTAGTTTGTCACAGATGTCCCCTCTCCAGGTGCAGGGACAGCGCAGGGCTCCCCAGGGCTCGTCAGCTACCTTGGCCACAGTGCCCAGGTGCTGCACATCTCCCTGCAGTTGGTATTTGTGCCCTCTGTGCTGAGAGCTCTGAAACCCCACATTGCTGCAGGGGTACACATGGCTGGGTGGTCTGGGGTCGGGCTCCCCTGACTGCTGTCACCCCACAGGTGATGTTTGAGTTTACCTGGAGGTTCCCAGCCAGCCTGAAAAAAGGCTTTTTCAAGGACTTCTGCTTGCACATGCCAGAAAATCAGTGTGCTGATAAGGAGCTGTGCTGACTGGCTTGCTGTGCAGGTGCTCAGTAAATACGTATTTATCGTGCAGAACATAAAGCACATTCCCACATCTGAATGGGGAGCTGAAGACAAACAGAAGCACAGCTGCAAATCTGATGTCGAACAGGGCCTACAGCAGCCCTGGCCATGCCGAGGTTTCGCAGCGCATCCCGTGCAGTGCGTGCTGAGGCACCAGCGCTGGCTCTGCCCCGGCACGTGGCAAATGTGCTTCAGTGTAGAGTGTGGTGTGCTGCGTGTGTCTGACAAAGTGGTGCCAGGTGCTGTGCTCCCTAACGGCGCTGCCCACCCGTCAGATCGGAGGGTCATCCACAGGCAAAGGTAGGTGAGAACCCGGGCGTGTGACCCTGCGCTCAGCCCCTCGGCACGGCGACGTGTCGGTGGGGCCGCGCCTCAGCGCTTCTTTCTCTGTCTCTCCTGGATTTTGCAGGCATGCCGGTGCCTGTGAGGATTTATGGTGGGGGGACATGCGAATTCAAACAATGCCTGCTCGCCATAAACACCCAGCTGGGGGTTTGCTGTGCGGCCTCACGGAGGGTGTCCCAGAGCGGGAGCCCACGGCAGATCCGCGGCGCGCGGGAGCCGGCCCGCCGGGCTGGGCAGTGTGCTCGCTGATAAGAGCGTGCCAGTGCGCCTGGCGCCATCCCTGCAAATCGCCACGGCCACCTTTGTGCCGGCCCCCCTGGGGATGGTGGCGAGGGAGGCAGCACCAGGCACTGCGTGTGCAGATAGGAGCGCTGCCAGCGCGGCTGCGGCCGGCTTGGTTGCATGTTACCAAAACCCCTGGCAGGAGGGAGGTAATGAGCTCTCCCCACCCCTTTCTCAGCCCCCACATAGCCAGCAGTCACTGCTGGACTGTCTATGCATTCTGGGGCTGCACAAAATTTCTTAGCGATGATGATGATGCCTTTCCTCAAGCAGCATATGTTTTTCACACAGGAAGACCATTTTCCTTGTCATTTTTAAACATATGGCCCAGTGAGGAGCTGAGGATGGCAAGTTAGCCTGCTTGTATTGGCAAGGGACTGTTTCATTCTTACTACTTTAATTGAGTTCTTTTATCTGCTTTTATCTAGTTCAAAAAGTAGTCTGCACAAAAGTAAGCACAGGTATGCATGGAAGTGGATAAAAGAGAAAGTGGGTGCATGTTTCAAATGAGGCCTCTTAAAGGAAATGTGTCCTTTGGAGATCTTGAACAGGTTGCCCCTGGCTGGCTGAGAAGCTGGTCTCTTCTCCTTCGCTGCATCAACAACTGAGAGATGCACACAGACTGAAGCACCCCAAATGCTGTGAAGCAAGAGCTGTGCTGGGTGCTGGCCATGTGTGGGGCTCCTGTGTGCAGCAGGAGCTGCATTTGGGAGCTGGAGCCTGTCCAGATCCCCCTGCACCAGCTCAGGCCTCACACAGCAATTCTGGGGCACCTCAGGTGCTGGAGCTCCACTTCCCCTTCTCCTCTTGCTTCAGATTTCTGTTTGCAAGGGTAATCCATTGCCATGGTACAGCAGAGGGAGGAGTGTGGGGGTCTACACAGGGCAGATTTGTTTCTCAACATACAGAAATCTAGATAAATAATGAATGGATTTTATTAAAAAAAAAAAAAAAAGGAGGGAGGGGTTTCAGTGGAAAGAGTTCCATCCCAGGCTAAAGCCTGGTGAGAGCTACAAGAGCAGCTGTGCCTACAGGAAGGAGGATCCCTGTTTGCCATAAGAAGGTCCCAGCATTCAGAGGGCTGTAGACAAAACCCAGTATATGAAACTCAATTCAGAACTGCAGTGAGGATAGCCTGGAGACTACAATAGATATGTGCTTGTTACAAAGTGGCCTTTAATAAAGCCTTAGAGAGCTGAATGGAGGATGTGCTGGGGTTGTCTTGTCTCAGATGGACAAGAGCATGGATTATTTCTGGCTAGGATACTGCTCAAGGGCACTCATGGCTTTCCTGTGGGTTGTTGAGGAGCAAAACTGATGGCCATATCAACAGCCTTGGCAGATTCAGAGCCGTTGAGATCTTCAGACTGCATGTGTAAGCAGTGAAAAAGAGATGTACTGAGGGTCTGGGATTTTCCCCTGATTTCTTCCCCTGTCCCATCACAGACAATTGGGTAAGTGCTCTTCAGATAAGGATGGCCGTACTGAGCCAGCCTGATGGTCTCATTGTGCTGTTTCCCCAGAATGCTTTCCTAGCTGTCAACAAACTTATCTAAGCACTTTGTGATGCTTTTTATTTAAATTATTCAGACAATCTTCTTCCATGAATTTCCATTTTGAAGTGCAGTTAGCTTTTCCTGCAGTGGGCCCCAGAGTTCAACGGCACATTGGGGAAAAGCATCACCTTTTGTTCACTTCACATTTGTTACCTGCTTTCATTTGATACTCTCTGGTTCTTCTGGTGAAGGAGACAGTGAGCAATTGCCCCTTTCCCACCTTCTCCATCCCTTCATGCCCGAGCAGGCTTCTTTTGCTGTTCTCTCCTGTCTCTAAGCCTCTGTTTGCAATCCTCTTGTTGATACCTCGTGTACCTTGGCCTGGTATAAGAGGGATGCGAGGCATGGCTGGTGGGAGAGTGATGGGGTCAGCTATCTCCTCCATCACTTGTGCCAGAGATGTGGTCACGCTGGTGTGTCTGTCCTGGCTCCCAGGCAGGAGGCGAGGGATACGACTTGTCCTAGTGTGAAGACCTGGCAGACAGAAAGATGGTGTCTGGCCATGTAGGGGAAAAACAATTAAGACTTCAATGTTTATTAAGAAAAAAGCAACCAGCAGTGCATTTCAAGCACTCATCACACAGCATAATTTTGCTGTGGGAAGTAGTGGGATTAAACAAGTCTTTCTAATGTTGATTTCTTTGAATTTGTGGCATATAATTAAAACAAAATCAATTAAAAACGAAGGAAGTGTGTGTACAAACATTGTCAAGAATTCCTATCTTTCATTTTTTAAAAACAAGCTCTAGAAAAAAATCCCCACAGAAGTTCTGTAGTGCATATTTGAATGCTTTTGTTGTAGCCTCATTAAACTTGGCTTGTCTGCAGATACAGCTGGCATGTTATTAACTGTGCTCCAGGCTTGGGGAAGCCAGAAAGCAGCCTCCACCCCCTGGTGCCGGCTGGCTTTAGGGAAACGTGCCAGCATGGGTTGGTCCTCTTCAGCTGGCTGGCTTTGGGAGCGCCTGCTGGAGCATCTCCGCGTGGCCCCTGGGTGCGGGAGCGCGGGCTCGGCCTGCCCGGAGAGCGCCAGGGCGGCCTGGGCTCCCGGTGGCTGGTGGGAGCAGCAGGGACCCGCCCAGGTACGTGTCCTCCTGGGGCAGCCTCAGCCGGGTGCCCCTGTGGTCCGTGGGCGTCTCACGCCTTTCTTTGCAGTAGGCTGGCAAGAAGCAAACCAGGGATCATCTGCCAAGCGGTTCCTCTGTTCTCAACAAACTGCGTATTGGACTGAACCGCTCAAATAAACTGAATAAGGGAAATATTTTCTCTGCACCTGCTGGAGAGGCTGTTGCTCTCCAAGCTGGGCTTGCACATCAGAGCACCTCCATCAGAGGTCCAAGCAGCTTCTGACTTTCTTCAAAGCTTTGGCAGCAAGTGTGTACATTTTGAATGCTGATTCGTGTAAGTAATTTTAATAGGTGCTTTTAATAGTAGGGTAAATGTTATAATTTCATATTCAATTTAAAACTGTTAAAAATGTACTCAGTAGAAATTTAAGTAAATTACCTGTATTAAATGTAGGTAATGTTATTCAAACGTCTTGCTTATTACAAGCAGTTTTCATTGTCTTAGCTAATGAAAAATTGATTTCAAGGCAC